ATACAGTTGTAAATTTCAATAATAAGCATTAAAAAAAAAACCTTGGCCTTGCAGTATTATATTAGCCTATAACAGATATTACTGTATTTTTTTTCTGTTAGGAGATACCTAACCAAGCCCGAATAAAAAATTGGAAACTAATTGAAAAAATAGTTAAATGCATAAGTATATTGTTTCTACCAATTCTTTACATATAGTAACTAAAATTGTCAGGTATTAGTAACTATTTTACCTTAATTTTTATTCACAAAAACGATTTAGTTTTTCTTTACCTGTCTTGGTCTAGGTTTTGCAAAAGTCAGGTCGTATTGGAAAACAATAATGATAACACGATGTTTGAAGGTTATATTTTGTTTGATTAATTCATGCACAAAAACGTGAAAAAATCCCAACCTTCCTCGTTTGCTTCAGTCATCTAGGTGTGTTCCTGAATCTGAAATCTACGCCAGTTTCTATCACGCTCTTTCTGAAAGTTATGTTCAATTCATAAGTGGTTCATCTCACAAACCGGTGTTCATGAAAACAAGAATTTTGAAAAAAAAAAACAATGGGAATAAATAAAACCTAACTGCACAACTAGTGTAGTGAACTAGGTTTCTCAAACTGCCGCAAGGTAGTAGCGCAGTACTTGCCTACTACACAAAGCACGATTTTGCAGATGGAAACAGTGTATCCACTACGGAATCATCACAAACTAAATTTTACCCGAAGTCCGAAAGTTACCCCATCTTAAAGTAATCCATGTTATTACTATACCCCATCTTAATTAGTCCATGATGAATTTTACCAGATTTTGAACTGTTGCAATTTACGTTTTCAACTTAAAAGATATTTAATTTGGTATTTTTCAAAACTAATCATCATTATTAACCTATGTAGAAAATTGAGAAATTAGCATTCTTCAATAGTGATTTATATCATTTCAGATTAAAAGACACTAATCAATAATCCCACACATTACAATCCATTTTTTTTTTTTTAGGTGTGATCAAATAATTTATGTATTGAATAATATAACATTCTGTCAAACGGAAAATAATTATATTGAGGTAAGACTACATTCGCATTATATCAAAAAGTATATCCAATAAATAAAAATAAAATAACTTAAAGATAAATAAAGTATATACAAAAAACATATGCATACCTATATACACTATTTACAATCAGGGAAGGGAACTACAAATCATGCTTGTTCGTCTATCTACAATGAGAAAAGCAGGACTCAATGAGATCTCTGCGCTACTCTCTCAACCGCGTCACTGGTGTTAAAGTCCGTGAAGATTGAGCGAAAGTGCTTTACATCCCAAGTTAAAAAATAAAAATTGTAATAATGTCTTCTTTTTCCTTTTTAGTTGGGAACTTTAAGTTTTTTTTTATTTTCTTTAGTTATTGAAATATACAACTGTATTAAATAATCATAACCGGTAAATATCCATAAATAAGAAATAATGAAATGAACAGACTTGTGGAGATACTACCCAGTGGTAGCACTGGCTATGTTAAGGATAATTATTAAAAAGGTGGCAAAAAAAACTTCTATTATAATTTAATTTTATGAGAAGGACTTGGTCGGAGGGTGCGGTCAAATAAATACTAAATTTAAAAAAAATAGTAATTTTAATTCGACCCACCTTGCAGGTCTTCAATGTCATCAATCAAGGTTATTATGGATACCTGCAAGGTGGGTCGAAATATCGGCGTAATAATAAAAATTACTATTTTTTTTTAATTTAATATTTATTTGACCGCAACTCCCGACCAACTCCTTCTCATATTATATCACGGTCAACCATCTGTACATCATTATAATTTCATTTTATATTCTATCTCATTATTGCTGACGTTTCAGGATTTCCTCCCATCCTCAGTGCTATTTTTTCATTACAATTTGAATTCTGAAACCCATGCATGGTTGAAAGAAACATGTTATTATAAGTTAGAATCATTAAATTTTACAAATGTATGAAAGCCAGTTTTGATTGATGTTTTTGATCCAAGTTTTTTTTTTTTGTATTCTATTTATTTATTGAGTATTACAACGATCTGTCACATGGACATTAGTTATAGTGAGGTAGGATAATATTCACACACGATTCAATTTTAAATTTAAAAATCTCAATAATGAAAAAAAAAAAATGTTTCGGGTTGTCATAAGTAACAATATTGAATTCAATTGTAATATGTCTCGACTCCAATACATATATCTAATTATGGTGCCTACTACACTACTTCTTTATTTCGTTATCTGTGACAGCTGTTGCTAGATTACATATTGATGTGAACGAGGGAGGGTTCCCTTTGGATATACAACTGGACCCTAAGGATTAGTTTAATCCCGATGGAGGGATAAGATTGGAGGGTGTATTTGGGCCAAAAAGGAGATTGCTAAGGTAAAGCAGGGACAGGCAGTTTAAAAATAGGAAACTAGGCAGCCGATGGACTGGCTTGATCCATGCACCCGCCGGAATCCGACAGCGTGAAATTGAATTGCTTCATTTGCCGTCTTTACAGTAGCCGAAGGGCGGCTCCACCTCCCGCCCTCTAAACCTTCTCAATTTATCCTTTAAATATAATCAAGCCCTTTAATCAAAGGAGTTGGGGGTGTTTATCCCCCCCCCCATTGTTGTCATTTCTTCCTGTCATCCCTCTTCATTTTCGGCTTGCTAAATTTAGGCCTTCATGTCGGACTTTTCCGTTCTCGTTTCCGTCTCAACCTCTTTTGTTATTGTAGATCAAAACACATCATTTACCTGATGTGTATGGTATGTAGGTTATTCATAAATTTGATTTTTATAATTAATACCAGTACATCTAACAATATTTGGCTAATATAACGTTCATTATTTGACACAGATACTGACGAAAGGTAGTTTTGAAAAAAAAAAAAAAATTGAAAAATAGTTTCTACTATTACCAGTAAATTATTTTTAAATATAATCAATATTTACTGAAATTTAATTAACTGTTTAATTATTTATCAATCTCGCAATTATTTATTTTATTTTAATTTACTAGTCCGGCTAACGGTGGACCAACCCATTTTACACATTATACAAATGTTCATTTTCATTGCAGTACTCATTGCTCAAATGTTATTTTAGTTACATGTATTTTGTTATTCAGATTGTATTATTTTTTATAAACATACAATAATTTTTTTTATAAAGATAAAAAAAAAACATTCCCACAACACATCAATGACTGAAACGGGATAAAAGTTAATTAAGTAAAATAATCATACCGGAAAAGCGCAATTGAATGTTTAAAATGTTCACAAGTGCACCCAAAATTTTCCTGTTTCAACTCATTATTCACCAAGGACAGTTCACCACTGTAATAGCCACATAACGTAGCCCATTGGACTCAACGAAAGAAAAAAAATAGCTTTCTGTTGGTACCGGAATTGCATTTAACACATTATTCACAGGTGCCACAGATATTTATGTTCACAACTGATTCTGGAAAAGTCCAATTTGTTTATTTCCCAGTAAATTTCAGATTTCGCCAAAGGTATTTTCAAACATGCTCAGCCACCATGGCCTTCTCATTTTGACAACTTCTCTTTTTTTTTTTTTTTGTATAACCCCTATCTCGCCATTATTAAATTTCAACCCGAGCAAGCCGGGTTCAAACTGGACTAACTAAACACTATAATGCTAATAAGGACAACGCTTCAACACATTCGAGCAACTCACTTCAACACTTCTCATTCCAACAACTAGTGTTAGGTACAGCTCTAATGTAAACGGTTTCTACTTTTTTTTTTCACTCTTAACAACTTTATAACTTGAAAACTTGATTTGATCCTAATCTTAAGTAGTAAAAACTTGACTATCATTTAGTTTTTACTTTTACCGAATCTTCATGAAAATGTAAATATTAGGACTAGAAAAATTAAATGTGATAAATTCATATCAATTCCTCTAACAGAAATCCGGGAGAAAAATACAATTACTGAACTGTATTTATTTATGGGTACCAACAGAAAACTGATTTTTGTTTTCTTTGTGTCCTAATGGGTTACGTTATGCGGCTATTACAGAGGTGAACAAATCTTTGTAAATCATGTGTTGAAACCGGAAAATTTAATTTGCATTTGTGAAAATTCCAAAAGGTCAATTGCGTTTTCCGATACTATTTTTCCACTTTTGGCAGGGGCTACAGATATATAGATACACGAGAATACATTTTATTTTAACTTCAAGAATTTCTTCAGTAAAGTTAAGAAAAATAAAAGTTTCTGTACTTTCTTTTAGACTAAATCGATATTTGTTCTCAATATTTAATTCGTATTATTATTTTTTACAATCATTGTAATGATAATATTACATATGTGTATTTAAAAAAAAAAAAAAAAAACCTAATGACAGCATTTTTCTGCAAATGAATATTTTTTTTTTTAAACTACTTAAAATATCCCGTTACTTTATTCATTATAAAAATGGGGAAATCTGTAATCCAGGAAATCAATAATAATCCGTGATTTTTGAAGAATATAAGATGGCATAGTTTAAAAGCATACTTAAATGATGGTTGTAATGAAACAAACTGTTCGATTTTAAAACTGCGGATATTCACACAGCTAACACATTTTATTTGGCTATAAAAGGGGTTAAACAATAACAATATAGTTTTCCGATATGATTTTTCCACTTTTCGCAGGTGCTAAAGATATATAGATACATGAGAATAAATTTTATTTTAACTTCATCCTTTCACGTAAAGGAAATTCACTAACGCTTTAATTGGAAAAAATATTTTTAAAATCATATTAATCTCTTTCTTATTTTATTAATAGTTTGGCGACAAATAGACACTTCATGTGATTAAAAAAATCATTTTGCTTTCTCTGTATTCTAGCAATAAAGGCTTTATGAAATCAATCCGAGTTCAATAAATGTGAAATTTAATTTTCTAGCTCGAGAGTCGGAGTGGGAGTGGAGGGGGGGGGAGGATAGGAGGGAGGGGGGGGGGCAGCAGGAGGGCAGACGGGGAAGATGATAGAGACACTGCTAATGCCTCGGACGATCAGGGCTTATCTCACATCTCTTCCCGATATTTGCAACGAGATCTCCGCCCTCTTCGAAAAAGCCCTCGCCCCTAATAGTGCCCCTCTTTTGAATTAAGTGTCAGCATAGGTGTAATCTTAAGTTCAATGAAAGTAATAATATAGTAATGAATAATATGAAATTGCAATTCCATAGGCTACAGAAATGTCATTACCACTCACCGTAGAGTGTGTTAGGTTGTTAGCGTTGAGGAACCTACCAGCATGGGTTAACGACTTAAAATCAGTCACGTACGTGAAAAATAAAAAGCTCGAGTACTTATATATTTATCTCATGACATAGAACTTTTTTTAAACTATTTATTCAAGATATTTACAACTGTATTACAATATAAATACATCATGTAAATGTGTACACAGGAATATAATCACATGAAAACGCTTGTTGAGAAACTACCCACTGGTAGCACTCTAATAATATGTCTAAATAAGGAGATCACGAGGCCATCTTTTTTTCAGACGCCTCGGAGGGTTATCAGGAATCTAAGAGGAAGCAAGGTTAGAAACGAGAGGATTCGGATGGTTATGAAGTTTATTATGGAAGGATAGGTATCTGGATTGGGCCTAATCGGAAACATATGGAACATTAAGGTCATTATGAATTATTTTATTTGTGACATAGTAAGGAGCATTGAGGATTTTACGAAAGATTGTAGGGAATGGATACGAGAGAAATTTGATGGTTTAGTGGAGCCCCACAGCTCAACTCCGTAAGTCAAAACAGGTCTAAGTATGATCATGTATATTAGTCTTTTGTAATTAATAGAAAGTTTACAGCGTTTGTCTAGTAAGTGTTGGAGTAAGCGAAAACGTCGAGCAGTTTCTTGTCGTTCTAGATATCGAATTAGTTCAACAGAGATAAGTGGGGTGTTATTAAAAGATACTGTAGGACAGGAAGCCATAGGTTTACGACGCATAGAATTTAAAAGTTATTAATCAAGGATTGAAAACGCATTAATTCAACTTTCTAACAGTTGTTGTTACGTTGAATCTAATGATCTTCCAAGAAAATTAATTACGAAAATTAATATTTTTTTATTCCAGTGAGAAATGGTATTTAGGAATTTCTAAGGGCTCTGGAAATGAATATGATTTGTTTTTTATTGATAAAAATCTGGTGCGGTGCGCGTATCACATAACTTTCACTTACCACCCTCTTCTTAGGAGAAATAAATATTTTTAGGGAAGGGAAAGTAACCATTATAGACACTATATTTGTTTATATTTCATTTTGGGTATTTTATTTGTATATTCCCTTGTATAAACCATTATATATACAATTTTTAATATTTATATGGCAGTAATCTATACAATTAAATATTAAATAATACCAACAATAGCATTTATGAAAACTGTATATATATATATATATAATATTGTCTTAAACCGTTTTATATTAAGCTCATGATACGTGTGGGAGCATGTTCTAATCTTTCGGGCGAGCTCGGGTGCGCTCGTATTTGTTTGGTTTCTCAATTACAACTATATTCGTTACGATCTCTTATTTCTCCTTAAGTTAATTATAAAATTCTTTCATATTTTTTATTTGACTACCTTTTATATTATAGATTAATGTAAAATGGTCAATTGTTTCAAATAATAAAAATTAAAGGTACTTTAGGGGAAGCTAATGTTGAAAATTAGCCATTTAAGCCCTATTACAGAACATCAATCAGATTAAAAACTAAATTTTATCTAAAACTTCTTAATTTTACACTGATGTAATGAATTTAATCAAATTCGTTACAGCCGTTTTTGAGAAAACCATAAAAATGTGTTTAGTCCATGTTAAAAAGTGCCACTTCCGGTAAACCGATTTTGAGAGAAAAATTGTTGTAACATCACTAGAATATACAAACCTTAAATATGCAATTTCACTTTCGTACTTTTCGTCTTTGAGCTAGACTGTTAAAAAACACACACAGATCATTTTGCGGGACTTGGTTATTTGGACTCAAGGGAATCCAAAACTTGTATTTCGTTTGAAAACTGGGATTCAAAAATTTCAACGATCGCAATACTTTCCTTTACTATATATTCCATATGTATGTAAGTGAAAGTAAAAATATACTTGGTCAACTTAACTTGAATTGTTCATTGTTTTTTACAATTTCTTATACATTTGAATTTATATTATACGATTGGTAATACTTTCTTCTCATTTTAATTGATTCTGCATGAATCCTCTCTGTTTTTGCGTTTGGAATATGCAAAATCTTTCAGAACTTGAAAATTACTGTAACACGTAAATATATGACTGAAATAATGAAAATGAAAATTATAATTTTGGCTTTCCTGTTTTGATATTTTTTTCTAAATTTTATATTTACTATTATTTGCCTATAGGCCAATCTAATAAATAATCACACTTATTAGTTTTGTATTACTATTTATTAATGAACGTTTCGGAGAATCTCTTTCTCCTTCATCAGCAGCTAAAATTGTGTAACGAATATATTATAGGCTCTGTCATGAACCAGTCATTTGTTATTTTAAAAATGATATTAATTTTTTTTTGTCTATCTTAATGTAAAATATTTTATATACATTTGTTAAAATAACAATATACTCATATAATATGCCCCGAAATTTGCTATGTGACAAACTATTAATAAGCATCCTATATATTATTTCTAAAAGGTATTTTTTTGTCGGTACGCCATAACTTCGTCGATTCTTCATCAAATCCAATGATTGACCACTCATTTTGAAGATATTCTTCTCCTTCACATGCGAAAAATAGTCCTATCACCCCGAAATTTCTGAGAAAAAAGTTATGAAAGAAAAGAAACTTTATTTGCGAATAACTCAAAAAGTATGCATTTTTTTTCCTGATTGTACCCATGATAATCAGAAAGATTACTAAATTACCTACAAAACAAAAAAAAAAAAAAAAAATCTGACAATTATTAACAAAGATACAGTCCATTATTTTGGTATACCTAATAATGTCTTTCTGTTTAATGATATTGCATTTAGGAGTAGAATAGTGTACTACATTTTTATTCTGGTTTTTATATTAACTTCATTATTTCTTAAAGACATTTGGTTGTTCTTACATTTTATTTTATTTTTTATAATTAAAATATCCTATGATCAGGGCATTATTTTGTCTTTATTACTTTTATTATCTTTCCAGTCAGCGTTTAAAAAAAGGTCCTAGCAAAGCAATTTGTACAAATATATATACGGCTAAGGAAAAAATCTTAATTCCTTTCTTACATTATACGTAGAAACTACTTATTTCCATATTATTTTACTAATTTTTCACTAAGCAAAATTGTCTGCGAATTTTTCGCACGTGCCAACTAGTTATTATTAATATAAATATTATAGTAAACAAAATCTTCTAAAAATAGTTTCTTAGCCAAAACTACTGACTTGAACTTGACAACCACCTATAATAAAACTAAGATGATAAAAAATATGCAAAAAAAAATTGATATAATGATATTATAACCTAAATTAAATATTTTTGTTTATGTATATACTAGTTATTTCAAGGTTCATTTTAAATCTAGCTGTACTAGTAAACAAAAATTGTTCATTATTAAAAAAAAAAAAACTAACAACATATTAACTCTTTCTCACTCTCTCTATCTCTGCTTAAGCATAAAATATTATATATTTGAGCATAACAAGTGAGTATAATTAAAGAACCAATGCAAAATTAAGTTTAGAGTTAAACGAAATAATATTTAAACAAATAATTTAGTTTTAAAATTCGTTGTATTGTATAATGAATTAAATTTACACAAACTTAACTCAGAATCAAGTTTATTTAGTTATTTATGTGTGTATATATTAAATTATATTTGTAACTTATTTGAACGAAAGTGAATTAATTATTTGATTGCTCTGAGTCAACAATAACGACTGAGGTTGCAGAGGTGTTGAATGGTCACAGCAAGTTGTTTCATTGTTACAACTGGCTTCTGTGTAATTCCCTTGTTAAGATGAAGTTGCCGTGTCTAACTTTGTCTTCTCGAGGATGGTTAATTTTATTGAAGAAGACCGTCGCGTCCAAGTATTGTAAAAATAATTATTTCGTTGAATTCACTTCGTTTCTAATTTTAGATACTATATCTTTTATCATTAACGATACAACTACACACTTAAGTTTTTTTATTTTTTGTTTGTTTTATGGCTTTAAGACTTGTAAAAGCAAGTCCTGTTTAGCCATTAAAATATTTTATTTGCCATAGTGAGATGAAATTACGGTTTTTAGACGGAAATTACAATGGATTTATATTAATTATTTATAGTTAGATGATAACTGAAAGTAAGTTATATGGGACCTGGATATTACACTCAAGTAAATATATTATTTAATGTATTCTTTATATTAGTTATGTAAAATGTAATATTGGTTAAAAAATTGATTATATATTACATTTTATAAATAAAATAAAATTGATTTATTTCTTAATGTATTACAATGTTACCTAATATTTTCTTTATAACATTCAATAGTTTATTAGTTCCAGAATCATTAGTATATTGATTATATTTCTATCATATCATTAAAACATTACCTAAAACGACAATTAAAGAGAACTAGATTTCTTTATTTATTTATTAGGTAATATTGTGTCATATAATAATTATAGTGTTGTAAAACCACACGATTCCTTTATTAAATTTATTTTTCTTTATGTTCAAAATGAATTTTCTTAATTTAATTATTATCTCCTCAATCTCTAAATTTAATTTTCCACATATTGGTTGTTTAATTAGTCTTACTTATTATGATATATATATATATATATATATATATATATATATATATATATATATATATATATATATATTAATTTGAAAAATACTGATTTTTCAAACATTTTTTCCGCTGAATCGGTTAAAAACTGTGTTTTTAGCTCAGATCTCTATTTTTGCAATTGATCGGAATTTATAAGTGACAAACTAAATGTTCCTGATCCTAATATTAACGTTTTAACCAAAATAATCAATCAGTAGCAGTTTTTTTTTTCATTTTAAACATAAATATTAGGTATAGAAACTTTTATTTTGTCACTCG